GGGGGGGGGGGGAGGGGACGCATTATATTTCCTACCTGGATCTGGATTCCATTGGAGGACGCATCAGATTTATTGTCTGGACCTAGATGTTGGTGAGGACGCATCAGATATCCTGACTGGATCAGATGCTAGGAGAACGCATCATATTTCCTATATGGATCTAGATGCTGGGGAAATGGATCAGATTTCCTACCTGGATCTAAATGCTGGGGGGACACATCAGATTTTCTATATGGATCTAGATGCTAGGAGGACGCATCAGAATTCCTACCTGGATCTAGATGCTGGGGGCAACATCAGATTTTCAACCTTGATCTAGATGCTACGGGAATGGATCAGATTTGCTACCTGGATCTAGATGCTACGGGAATGGATCAGATTTGCTACCTGGATCTAGATGCTGGGAGGACGCATCAGATTTCCTGCTCTCCCGGCCTGGTGAGAGCAGGGGCTTGTACTGGAGATTGGAGGAGGTCGAGGGGTCGGACTTCAGGGCTCTCCTGGGGAATAAGAGGCTGATAAATGGATCCTTCTTCTCCAGGTTAGGGTTGGAATATACAGTTCTATACAGAGTATTCAGGTTTTTACATTTTAAATCGTCTTTTATCAACGAAGCAGGATTAATTAAATAACGTAATAGTGCCGTCTTATAATAATAATAATAATAATAATAATAATAACAATAATAATGATAATGGTAATAACAATAATAAGACACTGAGGTAATCCTTGAGTATACAGTCCGAAATATTTGTTTGAATTACTGGAATCATGTGACCCTGAAATAAATTACAATAAAGAGGTAGGATTTAACCCCCCCCCCTCTTCCTGCAGAGGGTAAACACGCTGTGGGGGAGGTGGTTACAGTAGGGAGCCCCGCTCATTTTTTAAAGATTAATATCATTAAATTCTTCAAGACTTTCTTTTGTACTCTCAAACCATGTGTACTGTTAAAGAGTGTGGGTGGGTTCTCTTCCTGTGATATGTGCGTAATTAATTTAGATTCTAATAAGTACATTCCTGTAATCAAGGTATGTATATTAAAGGTAGGGGATATAGGGTTTATTTACATTTTATTGTGATGTTTTTGTACCGCTCAGGAACATGGTTTTGAGTAAATAAACAACTTAACAAATAGTAAACAAGCCCGGCCTCCCAATTCTGTTTACTATCTTTGTTATCATTTTAACTAAACTACAGTTTCTAGCATTTTAAATACGGACTCCAGGCAAATATGTGCACAAACACTATTCCCCCTACCATTAGTATATATACAATATACATTGCATATGATTAACTATAGATAGATACATTGTTCATTAATCATTGAAAAAAGTTATCAAGAAATGGATCAAACAATAGAAACGACCAACACCAGATATTTAATGACTTATTTCTTACATTAATTGCCTACTAATAATTTAATAATTTGTACAAATGAATTTTTAGCAGAAAACAGAATTTAGTAGAAAATAGATCTTATATAACATGAGAGCTCCTGAGCCCATTCCCTTCCTCCAATGTGTAGATTTACAAACACTTTTCCATGTTAGGTTAGGATAAGACAGATAGATATCCATGTTTGTAAAAGTAGAAGGGGGCCCCCCCCCCTTCTGTTTCCAAAGATTTCCCCAAAAATAGTTCTAGGCCTTCATGAGTGTTGTTACACGTGGCCTGGTAAACCATATCTAAAATATTCTTAGATATCTTATCTAGAACCCTTTCCCCCCCCCCTCATCTCTTTAACTTAGAACCCCTCCCCCATCTCTCCAGCCCTCCCCTCACTTCCTGTCAACACACCCCTATTGATCAGTGTATGGTACTCATGGTTGCTACTGAACCCTACTGTATACAAAATATGGGGTTATGACAAAGGATTTAAAGGTTCGAATTATCACATCCCTATCCAACCTTAACCCTGCCATGTATGTCTAACTCAACCGTTAACCTTTATATAGGTACACATGAGGTCAAACTATATGTTGAGGTGGTAAAATCTCTACGAATAGAGAATAAGGATGAATTTAAAGTTAACTAGTTAGGGTCTGACTACTGATAAGACAAGAGAACTTTTTTGTCAATCCAGTTAGATCAAAGTTTCAAGCTCGGATTAAGAATTGGTCAATATCTTCAAAGACTCGAATTAATTAACTGCTCAATTTACCAGGCATCGATAGATAAAAAGATAAAGTGTTTTGAATATCTGTTCCTAGAGAATGTTGTCTGTGTATCTAATTGAAGACTGATGGAAGGATGAATAGCTCCAGGTATAAGAGGTTGACTGGGAGACAGGGTTGGAGAAGCAGGTTGCATGGTGGAGATATTCTCCATGAAGGGTGGAGCACACATTCCAGGTTTAGTTTCAACATGGCCTACAAGTTATTTCCTTAAATCAATCCTCGACCATCAAATCAAATCAGAGGTTTATGGACGCCATAATCCCAACATTTTAATCCTGAAGATATGGAAACTAATAGATAATAGTCCTCAGCTGAAAACTTTAGAATTGTGGATATTGAGATAATGCTTGATCTTCGCTTTTTGTTAATCTTCAGATTAGTATAATTTTAATCCACTAAAGTGCCTTAAATTCTACGAATCAGGTTGTACCAAAAGAGAGGATTAAGAGAATTATAAGTTCGGGATTAGGGGGTATCCAATTCTAAAGTTTTCAACTCTGATCAATTTTCAGAGCTATTGCTCATGGAATAAAGACGCTATTGGAACCTTCATTGGAACCTTTTTTGCAAAACCAAACAAAAAGATGAAAAAAGATAAAACAGATGAAAGAAAATGGCTGAATAGTTTTATTTGCTGGAGAAGCTAGGAGGCGAGAAATCAAACAATGAAATTTATTTTTCTCTTGAAATTATCAATTTTACTGTTCATCAAATAAATTTGATTCTACTCCGTTTGCTAAGTTTCAATATTGCAAACTGTTTTGCATTTTTATGTTTGATCAAATGCACAAATTTGAAAGAGGTAAATTTAAATACAACAATGTAAATAATTACAGAAAACATATTTAAAATATTCTTTATTTTAAGATTTATGACCAAAATTGAAATTACGCAGCCCACTAGGTTTTCTTGCAAGGTAAGGTACTTCCGTTGTACTTTAATCTGACTCTTCATTAAACAAAACTGTTTCCTTGCTAATTTCACCAACAGGAGTCTACACCAGGAATACACAAGTCAATTTTGCATAGACAAAGCTATTATGGTACCTTTGTGAATTGGAACTTCTTTAAACGGAAGGTCACTTACATTTACAGTCCCTTTATGGGATGCATTTACTCTCAGAAAAATTAGACTCAATGGAAATTTAAAACCCAGAGGGATTCAATGATAAACTCGAGGACATTCATTTTTAAAGAGCGGATTCAACGATAAACCCGAGGGCTTGCAGATTTTGCGGATTTTTTTTGCCTTTGTAGATTTTCAAAGTATCTTTCAATGAAAATATCCCGGCGGGATTAAATGAAAATTGTTGCATACCAAAAAACCAGCTTTTTATAAAGGAATATAAATTTCCTAACATTCCCTTTAAACTCTTGAATCCAATATCAAATTAAACAAATGCAAAATGGAAAAAGTTTGCTGGAAAACAAACACTTTTAAGAAGAGAAAATAGAAAACTAAATCTACAATAAGATTTTTTCTTTTTCTTTAATTAAAAACTAATATTAAATATTTGGGAAATGAACAATGTCAACTCTAAATAGAATTAAACCTGTTTTATTTAAAAAACTCGTAATAATTATTAAAAGTTATCATTTAAATATCAAAACTATTGTTAATCGTTTAGAAGAGTTATTAAAAGGGGTTGTTGAATAAAGGTCCTTTGATTTAAACTGGATTGGGGAAAATATAAATTTAAAAAAAATAAAATTTCAACCTTTTTTATTTTTAAGGTACACACTCTAAATGGACTTAAATGTTATTTCAAGTGACCTTTTTCTGTGGTATGTGTTATGACCGATTCACAACAACTCCTTGTTGAAAAATTGATTATTTTCATATTCGGTTTCTGTTCAGAAAAAGACTCGCGCTATTATGCTTTATAAAACGTGAGCGAGGTTAAGGAATTGTCAGAAAAAAAGAACGATATCTTCGCACATCATCGTTGCTTAGATAATTAGGTGTAAAGGTTACCGTGTTAAATTGAAGGTCCCTTGAAATAACGTGTACAGTCTCTTTAAGTTTTAGAAATTAATGCTTTGGCATTTAATTACAGAGATAAACAGATAGATAGAAAGTTCAAATACTTATCCAAATTAGAGAATAGGAGGAGAATAGGAGGAGAATAAGAGAAGAATATGAGGAGATTAGGAGGAGAATAGGAGGATAATAGGAGGAGAATAGGAGGAGAATAGAAGGAGAATAGGAGGAGAATATGAGGAGAATATGAGGAGAATAGAAGGAGAATAGAAGGAGAATATGAGGAGAATAGGAGGAGAATAGAAGAAGAATAGGAGGAGAATAGGAGGAGAATAGGAGGAGAATAGAATGAGAATAGGAGGAGAATAGAAGGAGAGTAGGAGGAGAATAGGAGAAGAATAGGAGGAGAATAGAAGGAGAATAGGAGGAGAATAGGAGGACATTAAGAGGAGAATAGGAGGAGAATAGAAGAGAATAGGAGGAGAATAGGAGGAGAATAAGAAAAGAATAAGAGGAGAATGGAAGAAAAATAGGAGGAGAATAAGAGAAGAATAGGAGGAGAATAGAAGAAGATAAGGAGGTGAATAGGAGGAGAATGGAAGGAGAATAGGAGGAGAATAGGAGGAGAAAAGGAGGAGAATAAGAGAAGAATAGGAGGAGAATAGGAGAAGATAAGGAGGAGAATAGGAAGAGAATAGAAGAAGATAAGGAGAAGAATAGGAGGAGAATAGGAGGAGAATAGAAGGAGAATAGGAGGAGAATAGGAGGAGAATAGGAGGAGAATAGGAGGAGAATAGGAGGAGAATAGTGGAGAATAGGAGGAGAATAGGAAGACAATAAGAGAAGAATATGAGGTGAATAGGAGAAGATTAGGAGAAGAATAAGAGGAGAAAAGGAGGAGAATATGAGGAGAATCGGAAAATATTAGGAGAAGAATAAGAGAAGAATAGGAGGAGAATAGAAGAGAATAGGAGGAGAATAAGAGGAGAATAGGAGGACAATAAGAGGAGAATAGGAGGAGAATAAGTAGAGAATAGGAGGAGAATAGGAGGAGAATAGGAGGAGAATAGGAGGAGAATAGGAGGAGAATAGAAGAAGAAAAGGAGGAGAATAGGAGGAGAATAGAAGGAGAATATAGGAGGAGAATAGAAGGAGAATAGGAGGACAATAAGAGAAGAATAGGAGGAGAATAGAAGAGAATAGGAGGAGAATAAGAGGAGAATAGGAGGAGAATAGGAGTAGAATAGGAGGAGAATAGGAGGAGAATAAGAGGAGAATAGGAGGAGAATAGGAAAAGAATAGGAGAAGAATAGAAGGAGAATAGGAAAAGATATTAAATGATGAAACTAACCTCCCTGAGTAGTGTAGTGGGTCTAGGTATCGAAATAGCATCACAGGTGAGAGATCGGAGAAATGTGCCTTTACCTTTATTTCGTTCCATTTACACACTTGTTGGAATAAATAAACCCAACAGTAGTTCTCCTGGTTCAAGGTTTACTAGACACTTAAACCATCAAGGTTCAACACCAAGTAAGACGGAAACTGGAAAGAGAAGGAGAGAGATTCAGAGAATCTGAGATAGGGGGTAGGGGGATGGTTTTTTCCTCATCCTTTCTTATCAATACTCATTCTTTTTTCATCCTACCTCATCCTTTCTTATCCTTCCTCATCCTTCCTCATCCTTCCTCATCGTTCCTTATCCTTCCTCATCCTTCCTCATCCTTCCTCATCCTTCCTCATCCTTCCTTATCCTTCCTCATCCTTCCTTATCCTTCCTGATCCTTCCTGATCCTTCCTGATCCTTTCTCATCCTTCCTCATCCTTCCTCATCCTTCCTTCCTCATCCTTCCTTATCCTTCCTCATCCTTCCTCAACCTTCCTCATCCTTCCTTATCCTTCCTCATCCTTTCTTCATCAATACTCATTCTTTTTTCATCCTTCCTCATCCTTCCTCATCCTTCCTCATCCTTTCTCATCCTTCCTGATTCTTCCTCATCCTTCCTCATCCTTTCTCATCCTTCCTCATCCTTTCTCATCCTTCCTCATCCTTCCTCATTTTTCCTCATCCTTCCTCATCCTTCCTCATTCTTCCTCGTCCTTCCTCATCTTTTCTCGTCTTTTTCGTTTTTGTCTTTTACTGAACAAAATGTAAAAATATTGAAAAATTTAAGTTTAATGATGTATAATATAGGGGATTCAGTGTCTAGACAAAGGAGAAATGCATGATATTAAAAATATTAAATTAAAAAGATTCAATTTACAGGGATTGTCAGAGAATCTTAAAAATCATCCAGCTCAAACAGTGTTTTTTTGGCAATGGAAAAAATAACTGTACTAGTTAAGGTCTCTAAAATATAGATATTAATGAAGATTGAACAAATATTAACTATTCATAACACTATTCTTTTGGTTCGCAGTGTTATAACGTTTTTGAATAGACTTTGCTTTTTATCGAGAAGGTTCAATTTTTTGGAGAAAATCCGGGAATCAATTAAAACTTTATTTACACTTAGAACACATGCTTTAATGTACAGCTAATTCAGCTTAATAGCACGATGATTACTTTATTGTACGTTCATAAAAAATTCACCATGAAGAGAGTGAGAATGATAAAGTACACAATAGTTTCATAACATTTATTAGGTTGCAGTTTCTTAAATTTTTACAATATTGGGCGTTATATTCTGAAATATCTACTTTTTTCATTTTCAACATGTCAGGACTGTACAAATTTGGTCTTAGGGATCGGAGGGGAGGGGGTGATAAATGTAACCCCTTTGGTTACATCGGTAAGAGGGGAGGTGGGGTATGTTGTGCCTTGTGTCACATGTAAACATGAAAATAATATTTTTCATCGGTCTTCTTTAATTCTAAGTTTATTGCCCAAACTATACAATATAATACAGGATGTGAAAATTAGAACATTTTCTGCTGCACAGTGTACAATATACACATTTTCTGCTGTACAGTGTACAATATACACATTTTCTGCTGCACAGTATACAATGTACATATTTTCTGCTTCACTGTGTACAATATACACATTTTCTGCTGTACAGTGTACAATATACACTTTTCTGCTGCACAGTGTACAATATACATATTTTCTGCTGCACAGTTTACAATATACACATTTTCTGTTGTACAGTGTACAATATACACATTTTCTGCTGTACAGTGTACAATATACACATTTTTTGCTGTACAGTGTACACTGTACACATTTTCTGCTGTACGGTGTACACTGTACACATTTTCTGCTGCAAAGTGTACACTGTACACATTTTCTGCTGCACAGTATACACTGTACACATTTTCTGCTGCACAGTGTACACTGTACACATTTTCTACTGCACAGTATACACTGTACACATTTTCTGCTGCACAGTGCACAGTTTACACAGTACATAACTTTCTGCTACACAGTGTACACTAACACATGTACAGCACTTTCTGTTACACGTAGTGTACATTGT